TGAGGGGCTTTCACATAGCCCTTAGAACCTGGCACTTTGAACTTGGAGTTAAAGCCTCCAAATTGTAAGAATAAACTCCTGTTTGTTAAGGCCATCCCATTTGTGGTATGTTTCCTGTCAGAACGGCACTGGGTAACCAGAACAAACTCTACATTTTTTCCCCCGAGAAAGATCTTCTAAACTTCTGCATCAATATTATAAACCTGACTGAAATTCTGGGTTCTTGGTAAGGGAGGGAGATCTCTGTTCAGAATGCAGATTTACATTTAATCCTGCAATCTTCAATCCTTCACTCTATTAGGTTTTTAGGACTGCTGTAACAAAATACCACAAACTGGATGGCTTATAATAGAAATATATGCTCTCATAGTTCTGGAGGCTAGAAGTTCAGAGTGTAAGCAGGGCCATGTTCCCTCTGAAGTCTCCAGGAAAAGAACCTTCCTTGTCTCTCTCAGCTTCCGACATTCCCAAGTGTTCCTCGGTTTGCAGATGCTTCTTCAAATGGCCCTCCTTCCTGTGTCTGTCTCTTCCATAAGAACACCACTCAGATTGGATTAGGACCCACACTACTTCAAGATGACTTCATGTCATTTAGCAGATAACGTCTTCAAAGGACATTTCCAAACAAAGTTATGTTCACAGCTATAGGGGATCAGGACTTCAACGTTTCTTTTTAAGGGGACACAATTCAATCCATAACACTCATTCTTTCTCTGACCCTCCAATGGGCCTGTTATCTCCATTGCTGGAATGTCTCTGATTGACTTTATTGATCATTAAACACACACACACACACCTCAAAGCAAATAATTTAAAAAAAAAAAAAAAAAAAGAAATTAAGTCTCGTTACTGTCTTCTCTCTTAATTTGCCTCTGAAAGCTAGTGAACAATGGGTTAACATTAAATGCCTAGACTCTCTTTCCCCCCAAAGAGATTAGCCAAGGAATAAGTAGACAGGGACCAAGACCCACAGCAAAAAGCATTTATGCCATTCCTCTATCTGCCATTGGCACATGTCAGATGGGTTGAAGACAGGTTGCATTTTTCTCCTTCCACCTAACTGTGGTCTCAGCAATTCTCTTGACTGGTCCTTTTGTGGTTAAGAGAGAAGAATGGGGAAGCCAAAGTTCCAGTTGTCACTTTCTGTGTGATTAATGTCACTGCTTTTGCAGTTGAAGCCAGCTCTCTCTCCATTAGGTCTGCTGATGAAGGTGAGCCATGATATGGTGACTTACAGCCCACAGAGGTATGACTTGGGGGAAAAAGGTAATATGATTAATAACAATAGTAAGAATAGCTAATTAAGTGCTGTTGTTGTTATGTGCCGTCAAGTCGGTCCGACTCATAGCGACCCCTCCTTGGGTTGCTGAGGCAGTATCACTACGGAAGTAGATTGCCCCATCTTCCTTCCGAGGAGTGGCTGGTGGATTTGAACTGCCAGCCTTCTGGTTAGCAGTCAAGTG